GACGTCCCCAAGCTGAACCCACGCCTGCATCACATGGAACAGCGCTTGGACATGAACGACGTGAGGGTTGACAAGCTCGAAAGCATTTGCAAGTCTCTTGAACAGAAAGCGTTCCCGACCATGGACTACGTGGAGGCCAAACTCCACGAGTATATGAAGGACTTCATGGCGGAGAATGGCATGGGCGTTGGGGACAAGGAGCCTTGTACCTCGGAGACCGGGGACAAGTGCGCCGTGAGCATTGCGATTGGCACAGAAGATGCGTTGGAGAACCTCGAGAATGCCACCACGTGGCTGAAGGGAAAAACCTGACGCTCTACGCCAAAGGCGACTTTAACTGTATCTCGTTTACGAAATTCCAGGACACGTCTTTTCGAGACCCCGCCGTTGATCTCCTACGACGTGCTAGCCTAAAGAGCGGAGGACCGATCCCCAAGAAACAACATTCCGCCGGCTTGTACAGCCTCATCTTTGCCGTTTGCCCGAGGGCTCGTTGTCAATGCGGCGCTGTTGGGGTCTCTTGGCAGGCGTCTCGGGAGCCTTCTGGAGGCAATTTTGAAGCCTCTTGAGGCCTCTTGTGGGCCGTTTCCAGGGCCCTGGGGGCCTCGTTTTGGGCCTCTTGGGGGCTTCTTGGGGCCTCTTGGGGGCTTCTTGGGGCCCTGCTGGCGGTCTCGGAGGTGCTCCGTGGGGCGGAGTTCCCCCTCTTGGGGCCGTCTTGGGCCGTCTTGGGCGCCTCTTGGGCCGTCTTGAGGTCCTCTTGGGCCGTCTTGGGGCCCTCTTGGACCGTCTTGGGGCCCTCTTGGGCCTATCTTGAGGGCTTGTTGGGCCGTCTTGGGGGCCTCTTGGGCAAGTTTGGACGCTGTGAACCCCCAGACGTCGTATATGCGGAAGAAATACATTGTCCTTAAGGACTGGGACGATTTTTGCTTGTTGGGGCCCTCTTGGAGCGCCTCTTGAGGCTCTCTTGGGGCTTCTTGGCGGCCTCGAGGGCCGTCTGAAGGCCATCTTGGGCGTCTTGGGCCGCTTGTTCGGTGACTCGGAGCGCTCTTGGACTGTCTTGGAGGCCTCTTGGGGCACTCTTGGCGCGCTCTGGGGGCCCTGAGAGACCGCGCCCAGGAGGAAAACCATCTCTGAGTAAAGGGTGGCCGGGCTGCGCCCCGGCGGCGGTCGGGGTATTTTTCGCTGCGGAACCCCCAGGGGCCGCCCCGCGCGCGCGAACTAGAAATATTGTTAACCAGTTACCGGAGATCTTAGCATGCCTGTGGCCCGTTGGGCCGGCGAATTACCTGGGCCTCAGGCCGGTGTGAACGAGTGAGTGTGAGGTTCGTGCCACGTCTCCGTCGACGGCGGTTCCCCTCACATTGTGACCGTCGAAGGTGGGCACGCTCAAAGTTGAGGGATGCAACATCTTCTTCGAGTAGCAGGTGGCGTGGGTCACGTGGGGCCGTGGGACACGTTGCACAACAACCAGCGCGTAAAGGAGCCGAGTGAGAATCGAAACAGCATGAAAGAAATAGACGCCGGAAAGGGGAGTCTAAAAAGTGCTGGGAGACGCCAGGAACTGTTCCACTGGTAATCGGTCCTACTGCCAGTGGACCCAAATCGACTAAGAATTTAATCCGCATCACCGCTGACCACATGTACATACATACCAATGCGCGCCATTCGCTCGCAGTGGCTGTGGAGGCCCTGGCATTCGAGGCGTGCCGACGAGATATAAACGACGACGACGCGAGAGCCTCGTACAGCTCTGTGTAAATCCGACCACATTCATTCGCCTTGTCAAGGAGAGACGGTAGCAGAAAGAGGAGACGGCCGAAACACACGTGGACACGCAGACCAGGAAGTTGCCGTCAGAGCTTCCGGAGGTTCGAACGCGCTGCACGGACTGTGGCAAGGCCCACCAGGCACGTGGCAGGCAGCTGCCGGCCAGTTCCTTCTCATGTGAGTCTTGACTCCGCCTCCCTCCTGATCCTCATTATCCTCCGATTATTCTTCCTCCTAACAATGCTGGAAGCAGATGATCAGAGTCAGGACAGCCAGTTGCCTGGCAACATGTTTCTGATGTAGACGCTTAACGTAGTTCTTGGCGCTGCATTGGTTTGAATGTAGTTGTTCCCTTCAGCCATGCTCCTACCCTTCGGTACCTGCCCTGGCTCTGCGGGTTCTCTCAGGCTCGCGTCAAGATCCGCAGGGGCCCTGAAGTATGAGTCTCCATGTCCGCAGTTTCGCTGTTCCACGGCCTGTCTCACCACCTTGCCACTGCACCTCTGACGTGCACTGCGTCTTTTTTTTTTGGGGGGGGGGGGCCCACGCTGGCCAACATGTGCCATCCGACAACTGATCGGATGGAACCGTGCACGTATCCAGAGCGGATCTTCTGGAGCGCAGCTGGGGACGGCGCAACACCACATGGCAAACTCTAGACAAACCCAAAAGTGATCGATCAGTTGCGTGTACCAGCGCAATCAGTGAGCGTGTGGTTGGTGGAGCCGCATTGTGCAAGCATGCTTGCTGGTACACAGTCGGTTCAGACGTGTTAGGTGAACCCTTGATCAGGCAACGTCCTGCATGACCAACATTGAAATACAAACGCAAAAGAAACACGGCTGGATCCACATGTGGAACATTCCAAAGGCAATTGGTGGAGGCACAGGTGAGGGGCCAGCGAGCCCAGCCACACAGGGGCCAGGCTGGGTGCATCCAGCTCACGCTCACGCTCACCACGTCATGAGCATCCAGCCTCCTGGCAACAGAAAGGAAGTGGTGCAGATGCTGCGCCGCACATGCGTTGACATGACGGAGGAAGGGTCCTGAGGGCACTGGGTCCTGGACCCCGGGATCTCCCTGGGACTAGCCTCTGTCATCCTTTGTCGAACTCTGAAGCGTGCTTTCCAACAAAAACTGCTGGTCCTTTACCACTGCCCGTGCTAATGCGGATCAGACGGCCAACGACCAAACTACCACATCACTTCCCTCGCCAAAGGACAGCCTCAGCAGAGATGCGCGCAACATGTGGAGCCATCTAATGTACCAGAAGCAGCGTCGTGCGGTGCGGTCGAACTCGTCGGCGGCCCCCGGGGCACAACGAGAAAGGGCCATGGGAGACCGAATGATGGCGAAGACCCTCGGGACCTCCTTCCCTCGCCCCCCCGCCGCCCCCCCCCTGCTCCTCGCCCCCACGCCCCCCTCTCGGGGCCTCTCTCCCTCGCCCCCCCTGCCCTTCGCGGCGACAGCCCCTGCCGCACCGCCCGCGCCGCCTGCGAAAGCCGGCCGCCGCCGGGTCGGGCGAGAGCGCAGTGGGCGCCAGATCCGCGGATCGGGGAAGGTACCCCCCGAGGCATGAAGCCGTCGTCGCCTGATGTGGCGGCGGGGCGCACCGATGCTGCATGGAAGCGTGGCCCGCCGCTGGCCTGCACGCCCTGATCCATGGCTGCGCTTCCTCGAGGGGGCAGCCGCACACGCGGTCTGGACCCAGAGGGGAGGCGCAAGAGCGGGGAGATAAGGCGCCTCTCCGCGCTTCCCGCTTGGCGCGAAGGCGCGGAGGCGGGAAGCACGAAGGCGTGAGGCCCAGGTGGGCGACGAGAAGATATGTCCTTGCTGCCCCTCCTCCTCCTCCCCCTCCTCATCCTCCTCCTCCTTCCCTCCTCCCTCCTCCTCCTCCTCCTCCTCCTCCCCTCTCCTCCTCCCGCTCCTCCTCCCCCTCCTCCTCCACTCTGCCTCCCTCCTCCTCCTCCTCCTCCTCCTCCTCCTCCTCCTCCTCCTCCTCATCCTCCTCCTCTCTCCTCCCTCCTCCTCCCTCCTCCTCCTCTCTCATCTCCTCTCTCCTCCGCCTCCTCCTCCTCCTCCTCCTCCTCCCTCCTCTCCTCTCCACCTCCTCCTCCTCCTCCTCCTCCTCCTCTCCTCCTCCTCCTCTCCTCCTCCTCCTTTCCTCCTCCTCCTGTGTGCCCCAGGGCCCTCGGGTCCGAGGAGGCCCCGGGGCGGCCCGCGCGCGCCACGGGCCGCGCGCGCGCGCCCCGCGCCGCGCGCCCGCGCCCGCGCCCGCGCCCGCCGCCGCGGGGCCAGGCGCCGCTCCTCCCTTCGCCCCCAGTCCGTCCGCCGCCGCCGCTGGAGCTGCCCCGTCGCCGCTCCCGGCCGCCGCCTCCGCCGCCCGCTGCCGCCGCTCCTCCTCGGCGCTCCCCCGCGGCGGTCCTCCTCCTTGGCCTTGCCTCTCCTCCTCGGCGCGCCTCCTCGGCGCCCCTTCCCCTCCTCGTGCTAGTGTTGTCCTCGTGCTGTCCTCGTGTTGTCCTCGTGCCTGTGCTGTCCTCGTGCTGTCCTCGTGCTGTCGTCGTGCGTCCTCGTGCAGCAGCGCTGTCCTCGCGCTGGTGCCGTCGTCGTGCTAGGCCGCCGGTTCCAGGCCCAGGGGTGTGAGCCACCAGACCCCTCCTCCTCCTCCTCCTCCTCCCTCCTCCTCCTCCCTCCTCCTCCTCCTCCTCCTCCTCCTCCTCCCTCCTCCTCTCCTCCTCCTCCTCCTCCCCCCTCCCCCCCCCCTCCCCTCCCCCTCCCCCTTCCCCTCCGCCTCCTGCATATCACAATTTCAGGGAGGACGACGCTCTATGCACCATCAGTGCCAGTCACTGCCAAGCCCGATCAGGGATGATGCGCCCAAGCCTATCGCCGAACCCAAGCGGGCTCAGGAGCCAAATAGCAGGGCCTGAGGAAATCGCAATCGAGACTCTATAACTGAACAAGAACGGCATAAGCAGAAATTCTCGGAGGTCCGCGTCGCCAGCGCCCCCCCCCTCCCTGGCGCGCGGAGCGCGCCAGTGGCGGCGCTGGGGGCGCCGCCAGGGGGGCCCCAGCGCGGATCCAAGAAATCTGCGCGGACCTCCGACCAAATCATGTTTACCTGTTTTCTGTTCCTCGAAATTCGCCAGATGTTCCACGAAATTCGCCAGATCCCAACCCGACCAGACCTCGTCCCTGCATATTCTGGAGGTGGGGCGGGCCGAGCGCGTGGC